CTCCAGGATTCTCACAAGAACACCAAACTACTCAGCCATAACATATATACAGAGGACTTTGGTCAGACTTGTGCAGACGCCCTGATCTCTGCAAGCCGCTCTGCCGACATTCCCAGCTCTTAACTAAACAATTTTTAAAGATTTTTTAAAAAATTGAGTGTGAGTATATGTGTGTGTGTGTGTGTGTGTGTGTGTGTGCACGCGCGCGCAGGTAACTTTGGAGTCCAGTAAAGAGCATTGGATCACCTGCAGCTGGAGTTATAGGTGGTTGTGAGCCACTCAGTGTAGTAACTTGGGGGTCCTGGAAGAACAGTAGGCCTTCTTAACCACAGACCCATCTCTAGCCTGCAACATGCTTGCCCTTTCTCTCCTTCCTTCCTTCCTTCCTTCCTTCCTTCCTTCCTTCCTTCCTTCCTTCCTTCCTTCCTTCTTTCCTTCCTTCCTTCTTTCCTTCCCTCCCTTCCCTTCTCTTCCTCCTCCTCCTTTTTGTTTGTTTTTAGAGACAGAGTCTCACTGTGTGGTTCTCACTGTCCTAGAACTTGTGTAGAGCAGGCTGGTCTTGAATTCATAAAAATCTGCCTGCCTGTGTTTCCCTCCCAAGGGCTGGGATTAAAGGTGTGTGCCACTGCCACTTGGTCCACAACTAACATTTTAAAATGGCATTTTCGTGGCTGACCTGATGATACAGGCCTGTAATACTTGTGAGGCTGAGGCAGGAGAATCAAAAGTTCAAGATCTGCCATGGTTAGAGTGTGGGTTCAGGGCTAGCCTTGGCAACTTAGGGAGACCCTTTTTCAAATTAGCAATAAAACAGAATTTAAGCCTGTGATGAAGAGTGTGCCTAGAATGTGATTAGCCCTGACTTCAACCCCCCAGCATTGGAAAAAAGAAATAAGTTGGATGGAGTTGAGGACCAGAATTGTGCCTTCCAACACCTTGTTGGAAACAAACAAAAGAAGCTTATTCTAAGTACTACCATTTCATTTTCAAACTCCATGTAATCATAGAGAGAAACTAAATTCAAGGTTCCAGGGGAGCTGGTGACATCCTGAATAGCTTCTGTTGTCTGAGTCCAGCTATCTCAAGGATAACTTTTTCATCTTGCTGACAGGGTCAAACAAGTTCATGTTCCCAGGCTAGGAAAAAAACACCAATCCCACTTTTTGTTTTTTTCGAGACAGGGTTTCTCTGTGTAGCCCTGGCTGTCCTGGAACTCACTCTGTAGACCAGGCTAACCTCGAACTCTCGAACTCAGAGATCCGCCTGCCTCTGCCTCCCAAGTGCTGGGATTAAAGGCGTGCACCACCACAGCCCGGCTCAATCCCACTTTTTAAAATGTTTTTTTTTTTTATTATTGTTAACTGTTAAAGAATATAGAAATTACTGTTATCTAAACAAAGATGCATAAGTTATAAAAATATATAACCCAATTGCCTGTTAATATCCTAATTAACTACATACAAAGGACCCGTTCCTTTGTCCCCATGTCACTCTGAGCTCCAGACCTAATAGCTGAGATAATGAATTAAGGACTTTGAAGCCAGGTGCCCTGGATACAATCCAGTCTCTGTTCAGTACTCCCTTGCTTAACCTACAATGTCAAAATACAATTGGATAGCCTTGCAACTCACCTCAGTTCACCCCTTGCTTTATGTTCCCATCTGCCAGGGATCAGCCACAACTTGGAAAGGGGTTCCTGAGGAAGGGGTGTTTGGGAGCAGTAAAAGAAGAAGACAATTGTTGGCTACAAGCTGACAGCTCTGTGTTGTGCTCCTGCTGGCTTTCCAGACAGCTCATCAGGATAGCTCAGCTCTTACAGATTAAAGCCCAGGCTTTTATTTACATATCAATTCTATCATCCACCCAGGTTCCCTTTTGATTATTCCATGAATCAGCATTTTATAACCTTAGCCCCTTGATTCTTAGAAAAGGTAGCAAGTAAATTAAAAACAACAACAACAACAAAAACAAAAACCATGGAAATGAATTCAGAGATCTGCCTGCTTTTGTAAGCATAGACAGTAAGCTAGCTGTGTAGGATCCTGTCCTGAAATTACCATTCTTACCACTCCTGGCCTAAACTTGCTCTGTCCCAGGCTGACCTTGAACTCAGGAGTCTGCCTGTCTTTGTATTTTTCTGACAAATACTTATAAGCTGGCTTATAAGTGCAGCTGTCTTTGTTCATTTAGATCTGTGAATCCCCTCATAGAATTCATATTTTGCATAGTTGAGAAATTATATATTTTTGAGCTTGTATTTTTAGGGTTCTTTCCCACAGCCTTAAGAGCTGTCTTGAAGGTCACAGCATTTACCATTTCTTTCTGAGGAACAGACATACCCTCCGCTCCCAGATTCATACTGTTTCTAATTATCGTGGAGTCATTAACTTTGGCAGGGAGAATATTTCAAGAAGGAAGAACATAAAGCGAAATATATACATTATTATAAAATAAGCCATAAGCCCAGCATCCTTCAACACTTGTGGAGGCCCACTTCCTACTGGCTCTGCTCCAGGGGTGGGGAACCATGTCATGCCACCATCTCTTCCAAAGCCATGCAGGACTCAGGACTCATCCTTTAAAAATGTATAATCTCCCCTCGGGACACAGTTCAGATCCTGAACTGGCCACCTCTCTGAGTGCTCAGAAAATTTTAAGCTTCCATATCTGAAATAAGTTTTCTTGGCTTCCATCCTGAACCCAACAACCTGAACCAGCTGGGTTTTGTTATATTTCTTCAAAACCTGTCAGAGTGTTCTAAAAGCCTGAACAAGGGGGATTATTTCCCAATCTTTGGTTTCCTGAGCAAGGCAAGGGTGGTTCAGGGAGCTTCAGAGGGAAGGAGAGAGAAGAAAGGGGAGGCAAGAAAGATGAATCCAGGCAAATGGCATAGTTCACATGACACTTAGTAACACCTGTGGTGTTGTGTACCACATATTTTGGTCAGTGAAGGATGGCTCATATGACAGTGGTCCTGCTTTCCTATTACCTGGTGATGTTCACTTACTTACACATGTGTGGTGATGCCCCTGTAAACAGAGGGACTGCACTGACATTTATCTAAAAGCTCGACACATGCAATTATTCACAGTGTGTCATACTTGGTAAGGAATATCTTTGTTCCTGATTTAGCTTATTTCCTATAGCGTCTTTCATAGCATTCTTTTAGCCTGTTCTTTCTACTTGAGAAATGAAACAAAAAACTAAGTTCACAGTAAAAAAAACAAAACAAAACAAAACAAAAAACAAAAACCCACCAGGCTATGCAGCCAGAAGCCTCACCCACTTCATGTTTACTGGTCTCTTGAATAGCATGAAAGAGAAGGACTGAAAAGGAGTGATTTAACAAGGTATTCATTCACTACTTGTCTGCTAGTAAACTGTGCTGTGCTATCTGGGAACAGTGACTAGCAAGCCTCCAGCTGCCCTCAGGATCTTCCAGCCCCATCTAACACACACACATTCTTTGCAAATGGTTTAATAACCACCTTGCCTGCCACACCTACTCGGTGTCAGGGTTGCTGTGGATCTAGGCTGTGGATCTCCCTGGTGTAACCTCTGAGCCAGCAAGCAGCAATTAGCTACCACAAATGGAGTCTGATAAAGCACCATCCAGAAGTGGTTAGGGCAAATTCCAAACACGTAGGGCATCTATAACTAGTTGGGACCAGGTCATTAGGGAGCCTGTTAAGATGCCCTGCCCTGCCCTGCCCCGCTGCCTGTTTCTCCATGCTGCCAGCTGCCCTGCCCTGCCCCGCTGCCTGTTTCTCCATGCTGCCAGCTCCACAGCTGACCTCACTCTCCTCTCAGACAGTTGCTACCCAGCAGCTGCCTCTGAGTCCAGGCACAGATGTCTGACAGGTGGCAGAGTAATCACATGAGGTCTCATTCCTGGGCATCCTTTCTTCAAGTCTCATGAGCCCCTTAAGTCATCCACATCAGCCCTGCTCTGCCCCACAGGTTCAGTGTGGCCATGCCTCTGTCACTTTCTTTAAGTCTTTCTATCTTAAAACTGCTCATTGTTTAAATAAACAAAAAATGTGTCTGAGCATGGTGGTGCACGCCTTAATCCCAGCATTTGGGAGGCAGAGGCAGATGGATCTCTGAGTTTGAGACCAGCTGGTCTACAGAGTGACTTACAGGACAGCTAGGGCTGTTGAAACTTGGTCTCAAGAAACAAACAAACAAAACCTGAGGGATGTGTGCATGTGGTGGTGGTAGTGTTGGTAGGACACAACTCTGAGCACGTTAGACAGAGTCTGTCACTAAACCTAAAGCTCACAGTTTCACCTAGGTGGGCCAGGCAATGAGATCCTGGGGTCTGCCTATCTCTGCTCTGCAAATGCTGGGGTTACAGGAATACAGGGCCATTCTCAGCTTTTACATGAGTGTTGGAGTTCACATTCAGGATCTTAGGCTGGCACAGCAAGTGCTCCTTCTCACCAAGTCATTTTCCTAGTCCCCCCAACTGTTCCTTCCTAGCCATTAAAAGCCTGCCCTTTCTTCAAACTCTGGTTTAAGTGGGCAGCTGCCAGCTCTGGGGCACATCTCTTTCTCTCCATTCTCCTGCTAACATCCCTGCCTTCAGCCTTTGCTAAGTGTCAGTGGATACTTGAGTCTTTGCACTGTCATCCCTCCAATGCACAGGGACAGAAGACAGAGAGGAGAAGAGAGAATAAGGGCTTGACTCTCCTCCCCCTTATTTTCTAAGTAAGTTAGTTTTCTAGTGTCCACCATAACAGTCAACTGTCATTACTATAATGAAAGATGCAAAGCAATTATCTTATAAAGAGAAAAAGGTTTTGTTGCTGATGGGACTATTCCACTCCATTTCATTCTATTCTATTTTACATGGCATTTAAAGACCACCAAGGAGCACTAGATGCATATGTGTCATTTGTGTTACTCAAAACCACTAGGTCTTTTCAGAGGGTGTAAGTAAATATAAGGAAGTCTTTAAGAAAATAAAAGTCACCTTGACCTGACCTTATGCTGTATAGTTACAGATACATGAACAGAAGCCAAGCCATTCAGCAATGAATTCAGCTTATTTAAGAAAGTGCTTGGTATGCACATGCATATCATCCCAGCACTTGAGAGACAGAAGCTAAAGGACTGTACAAATTTAAGGCCTGCCTGGTCTACATGGTGAGTTCTCGGCCAGCCCACGCTACATGGGGAGACCTTGTCTCAACAAGCCATTGAAAATTTATTTATTTGGGTGCTATGGAGATGACTCAGTGTGAAAAATGATGGCCAGTGTGGGGACTGAGTTTAAATCCCTAGCACCCATGTAAAGAGTGGGAGGGACAGATTGTAATCCCAGCACCCAGAAGACAGAGGCAGATTTCTGAAGTGAGCTGGCTAAGTAGCCAAATTGGCAAGCTCCTGGTTCAGAGAGAGAACCTGCCTCAATCTGTAAGGTGGAGAGCAAAGATTACATAACATAAGGATCCATAACCCCAGCCTCTGTAGTATGATTTATCTTGTGTGCCTTGTCGTCTAAAGGATTCCCAGTTGCTAATCTACTGGCTCTTTAAGCAGAGTGCTTGCTTTTTATATCCTCTCCTGTTCCCAGAAGTCCTTGAAAGTCAAAGGATCAAGCAGTTCTCTTAAAGAGCCAGTAGACTAGCAACTGGGGAATCCTTTAGACGACAAGGCACACAAGACAAATCATACTATGCAGAGGCTGAGGTTGGAGGGACCCATGGCTCCAGCTGTATATGCAGTGGAGGATGGCCTTGTCAGGCATTGGTGGGAGAGGAGGTCTTTGGTTCATGAAGATGGAATGCCCCAGTGTGGGGGAATTCGAGGGTGGGGAGGGGGGAGTGGGCAAGTGGATGGGGGCATACCCTCATAGAAGCAGTGGGAGGGGGGATGGGATAGGGAGTTCCTGGCGGGGGTGGAGGAGTGGGGAAAGGGGATAACATCTGAAATATAAATCAGTAGAATATCCAATAAAAAACAACAAACAACAAACAACAAACAAACAAACAAAGGCAAGCAGAGGCCGAGAGAGGGGGAGTAGGGTTAGGGTCCAGGTGGCAGAAGTGTAGGGTCAGAGGGTAGGGTTAGAGAAGACAGGTGGTGCAGAAAGAGAGAAGACTGAATGGGCTGAAGAAGAGAAGACTTTGCAGAAAGGAGACTAAGTGGTGTGAAAACAGGAGACCACTGAGCCAGGAGAAGCTGAGCTGACTCAGAGAAGATATTGGTAGGAGACAGTTCAGAGAGAATTGAACTAACAGAGTGAGAAGACAGCTGATGCTGGAATTAAAGGTGTGTGCTACTCTATCCAGCTTATCAAGTCATTTTCTAACCATAGTACTGGACATGTCAGCTGGACAAGTTATAGCCAAGCAAGGAAAACTCTGCTGTGAATTTTACAGACATTATCTATGACAACCTTGGGTTTGGGTTGGCAAAAGCTAAGAGTCTGTTACTGTGTCCCCCTTGACAGTTACGAGGATGCTAGGTCAGACACAGGAGGAGCTATTACGGGCGGGCATTGTGAGCATCAAGCTCTGGATGCACAAGGTTCTAACTCTACAGTCCGAATGCTTTCATCAGCTCACTCAGCCCTATAGACGTGACAACTCTGCTCTGGCTTTTCTCTGACTTCACTTCACAAAATCAATTCCTCAACTTTGAAAGCAAGATGTCCCTGTGTGTGGAGCTGGGGACACAAATGCCTCTCGAAAGTGACTTCACCACACGGTAGTTTCTTATCCCTGGTGAGGTTTGCTCTAGGACGAACAGCACACTAATAGAATATTAAGCTGTCTTCGATAACATAAGTTAAAGACAAATGCAGATAAGGACTTAAGATACTGTCCTCAAGAACAGAGATTTAGAGTAAAGGGAAGACATTTAGACGCAAAAATATATATAACTGTATATAACTCTCTGTGTGTGTGTGTGTGTGTGTGTGTGTGTGTGTGTGTGTGTGTGTTTCAGTCTTGGCCAGCAGAGCTTATGATAAGCCAAGCCATAGGAGGCAAAAAAAAAAAAAAAGCCAGTTTGGCTCAACACAGTAGCTGGTGTTGGTTCAAACTTCGGGAGTCTGACCTTGAGTACTTTATTGTAGGAGTATTTAGGCACAACACTATTTGGTGGAAACTATTCTGGTGATAATTAACTCAATTCCATGTGCAAAGCCAAGCATACATATAGCTCCTTGGGGAATGAATTAAGCGAAATATAGATCAGATGTAACTATGTCAAAACTCGTTGTAAAGTCCAAAAGAGTAGGTTTTATAGACTGACTGAAAAAGTAAGTTTATGGTAAGGGTCTGGGAGAATCCAGTGCTGGAACAGATAGGGACAAAAGTCACCAGGCTAAAGAACACATGTGCTCCAGCCTTCTGGGCAGATAGCACATTTTGCAAACAGCCCTGTGTGCTTAACACTCCAGGTTCCTCTAGTGCACGTCTGTGAGCACAAAGACCTCTGTCCATCTGTGTCCCTAATCTTAGTAAAACACCAGTTCTATAAATTTTATTTTACATTTATTTATTTATATTCTATAAATTTATTTTTTGAGATAGGATTTCTCTGTATAGCCTCAGCTATCCTTAACTAGCTCCGTAGATCAGGTTGGACTTGAATTCAGAGATCCGTCTGCCTCTGCCTCTACCTCCCAAGTGCTGGGATTAAAGGCATATGCCACCATTGCCTGGCTTCCATCTTGAGATTAAAATATGTTGAGTAGGCATAGTGGTTTGTGCCTATAACTCCAGCACATAGGGAACTGAAGCAGGCAGACTGCCGTTAAGTCTGAAGACAGCCTGGCTACATAGTGAGTAGCCTAACCAGAGGTACATAGCAAGATGCTGTCTCCAAACAGCAAGTAATGACAAGATAAAATAGTTCTTTGTGTGTGTATGCTGTGCCCATGTGTTACATATGCATGTTCGTATGTGTGTGGGCACACGGGTGTATGAGTGTACATGGAGGCAAGATGTAAAATGTGCGTTTTAAGTGTTTCTTTTAGTGTCTCCTTTTCTTACAGTAACCAGATCTCTTAACGTCCTGCCAGCTCTCCTCCAAGTTTCTAGCTCAGCCCTTTCAAACATTTCTCCCACAGCTCCCCAAGTCCACCTCAATAGTCTCCCCCTCCCAGTTTTCCCCACATTAGCAGCTCCTCACTATGACAGCTGTTCTAGTCTCTGCTCAGCTCAGCTTCTCCTGGATCAATGGTCACCAACTGTCTTCTCACTCCGTTAGTCCAGTTCTCTCTCAACCATCTCCTACCAGTATCTTCTCTGGCTCAGCTCAGCCTCTCCTGGCTCAGTGGGTCTCCTGTTTTCCAGCACTCGGAGGCAGAGGCAGCCGCATCTCTGTGACTTCCAGACCAGGCTTGGGTGCGTGAGTTCTAGGACAGTGAACCACACAATGAGACCCTGTCTAAAAAAGGAAAGAAAGATGTGCTATTCTCTTCTTGCATTACGTTACTATAAAGCCTCACGTGATGGTTGTGAATGATCACGTGGGTGTTGTGAATTGAATCTGGGTCCTCTGCAAAAGCAACAAGTGATTCTAACCACTGAGCTATCTCTCCAGGACCTAATGTAATTTTGCAATCATCCAATTTTATAATCATGTACAACATATACATTCATGTTGAATGTAAAAATAAGGTACATTTTAAGGAATCTAGAGTCTGTTTTCACTGCATTGCTCTATCTCAACCACCACGTTTATGAGGGATGTCCATACTTACACTTTCAAGTTTGCCTTTTGCCCCTTTCCTTCCTAGACAAGCCCTAGTTCTGAGCATCTCTTACACTCTTCTCCATCATGTCTTCTCCTTTAATGCGATGCCCCCAGGACCACTCTGTACTTGTTTGTAGAGATCTTCCTACTTCCTTCCATGGCACAGAGTGGTTTGTTAGGTGATGTTCTGGTTATACCCACGCTCCTATTCTGGACATTTGGCTTCTTCTCAGACCTTGACTGTCACAGAGAGCTTCAGTAAATAACCTTGTCCCCAGACTTTCTGTATTGTTTGCAAGGGATCTTTAGGATGCGTTCCTGGAAGTGGGGTGCAGGTCAAAGAGCCAACATACAAACTGTTTCTGTTAAGCATTGCCAAGTTCCTTTCCATAGGGATGGTACCACCCTCATTCCCAGCAGCCATGTGTCACCATGCTGGCTTTCTCATAGCTGAAACAACAGAGTATTTTGTTAAATCTTTGTATTTTGGCCAATCTGATCAGTGAGAAATAGTTTCTCAGGGCAATTTGAATTTCTTTTACTATAAGCAAGATTGAGTGTCTTCTAATACAATTTAGACTTTTGTCTTTTTCTTTTAACTAATGGTATCCTTACTGCATTTTTCAATCAGGTCATTGACCTTTGAATCCACATTAGAAGCATTTTGTATAATAATAATATAATTTTATTTATTATTTATTTATTTATTTTGGTTTTCTGAGACAAGATTTCTCAGGATAGCCCTGGCTTTCCTGGAACTCAGAGATCTGCCTGCCTCTGCCTCTGAGTCCTGAGATTAAAGGTGTGTGCTACCACCGCCTGGCTTGAGTGTATAAATTTTGTCTGTAATATGAATTGGACATTTAGGCAGTTATTTGTTTTAATTTTGCTCATTTACTCACATAAGTTTGAAAGATTTCTTTTTATTTTCATTTGTGTGTATATGTGTCTGAGTGTATATCACATGTGTGTAGGTATCCCTGGTAGACAGAAGAGTGTCAGATTCCTGGCAGCTGGAGTTACAAGTGGTTGTGAGCCACCAGATGTGGAACCTGGGAAGCAAACCTGGATCATCTGGAAGAGCCTCAAGCACTCTTAAACACTGAGCCACCTCTCTAGCTCATTCATTCGTGTGTGTGTGTGTGTGTGTGTGTGTGTGTGTGTGTGTGTGTGTATACGCCTTGATTGCTTGGTTTCGGCCACAGATGGTGAGAATTTGGAAAGCTTGCCCTACTCCTACATTATAGGAGACTTTATCCATATTATTTTTATAGCATTCATAGTTTTACTTTTGGTGGACGGGTTCTCATGAACCCCAGGCTACCCCCCTGAAATTCACTGTGTATCTGAGAACGACCTTAATGTCCTCCTACCTCCAGCTTCTGAGTGCTGGGATCACAAGTGGGTGCTGCATACCTGTGTATGTGGTATTGCAG